TAATACTGGTACCTACCCCCTCCCCCCCCGCAGCATGTTTCCCCCTCCCATCTTTACTTGTTTATTCCTGTTTTACTTTCCGCTGTATACTATATAACTGCACAGGTTTAATTGGTAGTCCGGTCCTAGCCTCGTCACTACTTCGCCGGGGTTAGGCTAGGCACTTACCAGCACATGAGGTCGGTTGTGCTGATACTACACTCTGTGCTATTTGCACAGATCCAGGTTTTGGACAGCAGCAGCAGTAGCGTGGGAGCAGGCCTTCAGTCCAGCGAGACATAGAGGTAGCCCTGCAGGCGTCCGCAGGCCCGACGTCTCCTCTATCCTTTATTTTAGTCTGTTATCTCATTGTATTCGAGACAAACAATTTATGTTCTCTTTCAGACGATTGTATTTAGTATTCTTAGTAGTTCGTGAGTATTGTGACACCAGTCTTGGGTAGAGGCCTTTATTGAAATTTTCCGCATTTCTATTCAGTTTTATATAACATTGAGACTTCCGCTTATTATGTAATTTCGTTGCTTTAGTATTATTGCCGATAATTGTTAAAAGGAATTATGTTATTTATGAAAAAGTAATTAAATTTGGCTTGCCTAGCTCCCATTAGTAGGCGCCATCACGACTCCCAAGGGTGGGGAATCCGGGTCGTGACAATAACTAATTAGTAACTAATTATGCGATGTGGCTTTTTTTTAAGCTGTCACTTGGCTTAAGGAGAGGGCTTTGTCCTCTCCTTTTAATAATATATAGATAGATATATAAATTTTAAAACTCCAACTTCAAACTACTCCCCGATTTGAATGGGTATTTTTTTCTTCTTTTTTTCCGTTTTTTTACTATAGCTACTTTTTTGTTTTGTTTTTAATTTTAAAATAATTTTAAAACTCCAACTTGAAACTACTCTCACCCAATTTGAATGGGTAGTTATTTTTTTATATATTTATATTTTTTTTATTATAACTAATTATAAGATATCTATATTTATTAATTCAAATAAAGTAACCAATTAGTGTGTATATATATCTATATCTATATCTATATATATATATATATATATATATATATATACACATATATGGTACTTTTTATTTTTTATTATTTTAGTTTTGTATAGATATTTAAATTCAAAAATAATAACTAATTATTAACTAAATAACTATTAGTAACTAATTATGCCATGTGGTTTTTTTTTTAGGCTGCCACTTGACTTAAGGAGAGAGCTTTGTCCTCTCCTTTTAATAATATATAGATATAGATGTTTGATTATGTATGGAGTTTAAGAAGGAACGAAAAACTTTTGGAATTTATAGTCTTGAAAATGTCATGATATTTATATGACTATAAAGTTATGTCATTAAGTATAAATAAAAAGTTTAAAGTTATTTTTAAATATTACAAGGAATCAATTTTTTTTCTAAATGGATTAAAAGTAAATGAGTGAATACCCTAAAAAGCCCTTAAACTATCATATTTTTGCCAGTTACATACTTAAACTATCTGGTGTCCCCAAGACCCTCCTTAACTATATCCCCTATGTATTAAAAATACCCTAGTCGGTTTTTAATGAAATGTATAAGGTAACTTGCTAAAAGGCGTGTGAGAGATGAACTTATGCATAAAAATGGCCCCAATTGACTATTTCGTAGAAATTGCACGGGGCGTCCTATTTGGTCGCCCCCATTTAACCTATACCCATTTTATTTTTAAAACTTTTAACTTGTATCTACTTTTTACAAAACTTCAGCTCCCTTTCTCCCTTGCAGCTCCATTTTAGCTTCTGCTTCTTTTGCTTTCCTTCTCTCTTCTGCTATCATTTTCTCTTCCTTTGTCCTTGCTGATGCTTTCTCCGCTGCGTTGCTTACCTCTTCCTTTGTCCTTGCTGCTGCTTTCTCCATTGCGTTGCTTATTTTCTCCTTCATGGAATGCATTTCTTCTTTCTCCTTTTCCTTGCGTAGAATACTACATTTGTTGATAATGTAGTAAATTGAAGGTTCTGTAGTTTGTGGGAAAATAATTAGTAGTAATTAAATAGAACTATAGCTGAAGTTATGTGAAAAGAGTGTTATTTGGGGTAGTAAACATACAATGAACTAAATAACTCCAGCTCTATAGCTGAAGTTTTCCGGTTACAAAGACAAAAACTTCAGCTCTAGAGCTGAAGTTTTCCAGTTACAAAGACAAAAACTTCAGCTCTAGAGCTGAAGTTTCCTAGTTACAAAACAAAAACTTCGGCTCTAGAGGATTTATTAAAGAAATTGCTATGCATAATAAGAACCTGATTGTCTGATTGCTCCGTGAATCCACTAAAACTTCTTTATACCAAGGAGTATGTTCAGATGTAGCACATTTCCGCTTCATGGGTTTCAAAATTTGGTGCTGATGACCAGCATTCACTGGCAATGTCTGCGGGGAAGAAAAATGCTCAATTGCAGCAGAGCTGGGAGAATTTGGCTCAAGATTACTGATTGAACTTCGATCGGCAGTTGCAGGTATGACTTGCAGCATAGTATTAAGTGCATGCAAACTACTGGAAGAGTTCCCAATAGTGAAAGATTGTTTGATTGTCTTCATTGCAGCAGCTCTACGTGCATCATACATCTGTAACATCTGCCCATTTTTCAAGGTTCTGCACTGATTAAACCAGGAAGGTTCCAGCTAGCTGAGGACCATTTTGAGTTTGCTCAAGCTTACAAAGACAAAAACTTCAGCTCTAGAGCTGAAGTTTTCCGGTTACAAAAACAAAAACTTCAGCTCTAGAGCTAAAATTTTTCAGTTACAAAATAAAAACCTATAAAATAAAAACCCGGCTACTAAAATGCTGAAGTTTTGCGTGATTGCCTTTGCTACTTCAGCTCCGTGTTCTGAAGTTATGTGAAAAAGCGGGTACGCTTGAATTTTTTTTTACAAAACGGACACAAGTTAAAATATGGCACAAAAAACGGGTATAGATCCAAATGCCCCGACTATTTCTAATGGTTATTTACTGTTACCCTCTTTAAAAAGTTTAATTTTGTATTTTTCCTGTATTCTATTTGTATTCTAGCCTTCTTCTTCATTTTTTTTTATCCTTTTTCTTCCTTTATTCGTATGTTTTCATATGAAATTTTTTTCTTCTCTTGTTCTTCATTTAGGTCTTCTTCTTTCAACCAAACCCTAATTTTTTAAATTCCAAATCTCGTATTAAACTATATAATTCCCGGTGAAAACAAATGTTATTGGAAAAAATCCAATGTTTAATCGAAGTTTAATGGTAAAAATCACAATTGAGAAACGGTGTAGTCATTATCGGAGGAGATAGAAGAGAATTTTTTTTAATAAATGACCATGTGTTTATCCCTTCATCCTCTTCCTTTGATTTTTTAACCCCCAACCATTTACCCATTTAATTATTTTCTTATTATTAGTTAAAATTCTTAATTAAATTGATATAGCAGATTAGGCTGAGGCCTCATTTGTTTTTATTAAGATTAAGACGTCTGAATCTGAATACACATCTGAATATCAAGATGTGTATTAAGATTAAGATATCTGCATCTGAATACATATCTGAATATATTAAGATGTGTATTAAGATCTGAATAGAAATAATTAAGACTGTTTGATTTTTAACATCTGAATGTATAAAATTTATCTTTATTTGAAAATTAATAAAAATAAATTCAAATGAAATACTAACTAATCCAATATTCTATCAATAAAATATATAGTTTTTTAAAATATGATAGTTGTTGGTGGTGATGGCTAATGGGTGAATGCCGACTAGAGGCGGTGATTTGTGGTAGTTTTGGTTGATGATGGTGGTTCGTGCTAGTAGCTAGTAGTGATTGGTAGTGGTGGCAATTATGATTGAGGATGGTGGTGATAGTTAATAATGGCGGTTGGTGGTGGTAGGTTATAATGATGGGCAGTTCCGGTTGTGGTTGTTGATGGTGATGGAGTGGCCAGTTGTGGTAGTTGAGGTGGATGAGTGTTGATTGTGGGTGAGAATGCTATATGGTGGTCGGAGTGGTGGGGATAGTGGATGGTGATGGTCGATAATGCTGGCGGCTATGGTTGAGGATTATGGTGGCGTAGTGGTGGTGGTGGTGGCGGCATGGTGGTAGTTGATAATGGTAGGCGGTGGCGGCAGTTAAATAATGACTACGTGATAGCATCTTAATGAAACTAAGTCTCTGTTATAGATCTTAATGATACAGACCTATTCAGACCCATTAAGTGGTTGTGAAGTAAAAAAAATAAACACACTTAATGATTAAGATCTGAATAGTTAACATCCAGACTTTAAAAACAAACGCACTTAATATCTGAAAGATTAAGATTCAGATCTCTATTAAGTGCAAACAAATGAGGCGTGAGTAGGCTTTCGGCTTTCTTTGCACAAGTATTGATAAGAAGACATCTTTTTGACTTAGATTGATTCTGTATAGTAAAAGTCTCAATATATTTGTTTCCAAACAACAAATGAACAAAATACTGGAAATCCAAAAGAAACATTCTATTTAGGAGAATAATTTCGTAGACATCCTCAGGTTTAGCTCTATAATTTATCTCTCTTATTTTGAGTCTTTTTGTAATAATTATTTTTATATATTTATTTAATTATAAAAACTATAACATGAATAATTTGCCCTTTCTAAACTTAAACATTAATTAAAGGTTCATTAACAGTACCTCTGCCAATGGAGAATCCGCCATCTTCGGTGGTGTAATGGTGGCCGCACCACTGATACTGACCGCCGTCTTCCAATTTTGAGGATTCGTTGAGATCGTTGTCGTCTACAAAGAAGATGTCGCACAGGTATGCAAACTTCGACTACTTTGAGTTACGTACTTCGGTTAATTTGGTACATCATTGATCTACCATTACCATCGTGTTAATAGTGTTTGAGATTTTAACAGCAACTTTGTCAAGAGACCTTTGGGCATTTTTTTAATAGATGCTCCTTAAGACATTTGACGAGTTTTACCACTTCGAATATAGATTCAAATGTGAAAGAACCTTTCCTCATATCTCTATTCTTTCCTAATGTTCATATCCATTTTATTGTAGCGGAGTTTTTTTCAGAAAGATGCCTAATTAATTAAACAGTAAAAAAAATTGATAATTTTTATAATAAAATTAAATAAATAAAAAGAATTGTTACAAAAACACTTCAAATAAGCGAGGTAAACCTAATTTTGTAAATGAGAAAGATGCCTGAGAGGAGGTCTCCGAAATTATTCTTCTATTTAAGTTTCGAAAACCAAGTCAAGTTATTTTAAATACTGGGAGAACCAAATTTGTGAATGAGTTTGGTCTTTCCAGCAGAGAAACCTCAAGAAGTACATTTATCTACAAATTTTTATGCGTAATCTTGTGAGTTGTTATTATATTGCTCATATTTTTCCGGAGAGAATAGGAAAGATATCTCTCTCAAGGCTTGAGAGTGAAGTGATTAAGACTCAAAGAATCCAAGTGATGAAACCTTGAAATCATATGGAAACTCGATTAATAATTCTTTGAGCTAGTGGGATAGCTATTTTATAGAGAGTGAAATATAATTACGTTACCAACGCACGTTTAATTAGTAGTAACTAAATTGATAGTCATTCCACATAGATTATACTTTTTCCTGTTAGTGAACATATGTGTCCTAAAAAATTATTGAAAACATCTTTCCAGAAAATGCTGGACATTTTAAACGATAAGCATACTAAGTTCTGAATCACTTCAAATAAAACCAACGACATAATACCGAGGAATCTTTGTAGTCAATTGCAGGATCTAGAGCAAACATGTGGTGCTGTATAGAAGTGGTGCTTTATAAACAAGTGGTGCTGTATAAACGATAAGCATACTAAGTTTTGAATCACTTCAAATAAAACCAACGAAATAATACCGAGCAATCTTTGTAGTCAATTGCAAGATCTAGAGCAAACAAGTGGTGCTGTATAGAAGTAAACAAACTAGACTTCTAACATTGATAATTTGGCATGCATTGCGTCTCTGCATTTGCAGTAAAATGTCCTATGTTAAATCAAGTTATTTTTCTGCTAAGATAGTAGAGCAGTAAGCAGGGATATGTGTTTCTAGCTTTTGACTCTGCCAATGAATGGTAGTAGTTCAAAGATGTTAGTATTTTCCAATTAAACAAAAGAACTTGGGATGGACCTAATTGCTTATATTTATTTCTTTTTTTTTTGGGGAGGGAGGAAATGATTTTCTATACTCATTTACAATTTGAATAGAAGAAGATGACCCGATAAAGATTTCCTATTTTTTATTTCTGGGTCTGCTATGCTATTTTTACTAATTTCCTATAAAAATAATATTTATAATGAACTAAAAAACCAAATCTCCCGAGTGGAAACATCATTTGAATTGCAATCTCATCCATAATCTCTCTGACGATCTAACAGCTTGTTTGGATGGTTGTTACTTATTGTATTGTATCATATTGTTACTTTAAATACGATGTTTATTTTGATTGTTACTTAAATTTTATTTATTGTATCGTTAAATCTGTCATTACGTAATGACGAAAAGTGCCACTTTATGTAACGACCGATTTGGTGTGGTCGCATCATTACTTTGTCTTTTTATCTCATCTCACCCTTCATTATTATTAAATAATTTTATTTTATCCTTTACTCCACCTTTTAGTATAATAATTCTACCTCGTATCATAATTTTTCTTTATAATATTGCAAGTTTATTCTTCATATTGCTGATGCGTGATATCATGAAACGATGGCAAATGATATAATCTATCCAAACATAATATTCATCAAACGATACAATACAGTATCAATGTGTTTTATTATTTGTGTTTAGGTAGTAAATTCTGCGTCTACCAGAAACAAGCCTCTCTGCCTTCTTGAAGGTAGGGGTAAGGTCTGCGTACACACTACTCTTCCAGACCCCACTTGTGGGATTATACTGGGTTTGTTGTTGTTGTTGTAGTTATAACAATTTGGAGAAGAATGGGATTTGCCAGCTGAAAAGGGTAGAAAGTTCTGTAAAATTATCAATGTGGTTGAAGTGGAGTGGCGCAACGGCCAAGATTTTTATTGATACGGAATAAAATTCGAATTTGAAGTAGAGAGGTGCAATGGCCAAGTAAGGTATATGAAGCCATTTTCTAGTGCTGAACTTAAGTCTTTGAGATGTGTTGGCGCTGGAACATATGATCAACAAACTATGCATTTGTTGCACAATTGTTTTCAGAAACCCTGTAGAAAAGTGAAAAATGAAAAAGGAAACTAATTGGTAATATACCCTACTTGTTTTCCCTGCACATGTATTTATCAAAGAGCACAGACAGTGCAAGAAAATTTCTACAATATCAATTCGTTTAAAAGATAATAAAAAATAACTATATATTTTCTACACTATCAATACATTTGATAGTATAAAATCTTTTACACTGTCCAATGTATATAAGTTAAGTTCTTTATTGGAAGTGTGAAAAAGGAGAAGGTTTGTACCCCTTAATATACCTGCAACTATAAATCCAAGACATTCTTTCAAGTCACATTTTGAGATGATGAAAGGATGCACGAAGCCCATTCCAGAGATATTTTTTGGACTTACCTACTAAATAATGTGAAATGTGAAGAGTTCAATGATAGCAGATTTATCTCTCTTCTCTCTTCTGGTGATTTGGAAATTGATGTAGATTTTCCTTTCTCTGGTTTTAGATAATACACACTCACTTTCAAGTTTTCTGAGTAAAGTTCTTGGGCAGTGATATTAGTGATGAGTTGCTAGCAGTTGAGTAATAGAGTGTGTGTCTCTGGTCCCTTTCTCCCAATAATTTATGGAGTAAGATTTCCTAATACCTCTCACAACTAGTTCTTGAAGATTGACCAAACTAACATTGTCAACATCTTTCCACTGATAATTTTTTTTTTTGCTTTTTTGAGATGATAACAGTTTGCTATATTCAAGAGCACAAAGGCTGTGCATGCCATAATTACATAGGGAATAACCAAAAATATACATCAATTTATCTATTTTCTTACAAAGACCCAAGAACATCTATTATAGCTTCTGAGTCCTCTATGTATTCCAGGTTACACCAAAAATGAAAAAGCAGTAGGCAATTCATTTTAATCTTCTGAATTGAGTTAGCATTGTCTTCAAAACATCTTGAATTCCTCTCATTCCAAAGCGTCCACCATATGCATGCAGGAATCATACCCCATCTCTTCTTCTCACTTATAGATCTTCTCCCCTTGTTCCAGCATGTTCCACTAATCATTAACGAATGTATTTAAGTGTTTGTAGACTCGAGAGTTTTCTGCTCTAAAAAATAATAGCCGGCAAAATGTATATTTTATTAATGTATAATATACATATAACATACATCTTTTATACATATATTTTGCATATTTGGCTAGCAAATGTAATTATTATTGGCCGACCAGCCAAATGTGTAACTTGCACTAAATTTAATGTCTAAAGTTAATGAAGTTGGTTAACTTGAACACCCTTTGCTAGTGGGCTATGCAAGGGTGTTCTAAGTCTATTTTTTAATCAATAACAAGTAATATTTTACTTTATAGATAGTGTAATTTCTCGGCAAAGGGTGTTCAGTTGACCATCCTTGGGCCAACATAGCTTCGCCCCTGCATGTTAGTACCTGATCTAAGAACTTGGAGATGGACCAAATTGCCTATGGCATCAAGTGGAATATAGTATATTGGAACTTATTAGATAAAGCATTATCTTAAAATATGGATAGGCAACATAACAGTTGAACTTAAAACCACAGAAGTTCCCTTTTTGAGTACAGTGACCATTTATTTAAGCCCATGACATCCTAGAAAACGCATTATCTTGATTTATCTCTATAATTTTTCAAGATCAAAGAAATTAAATGACATTTAACTGTCACATACTGGAATTTTGATCCAGAGTAAAACATGATGGTTCATCTTCTTATTATTTCCTTCTCAAATAATAAATATGAATTAAAGCTTTTTACTAATTCAAACAAGCAGGACATTCAACAATCATATTCTTGCATAATATAACAATTGAAGAATTCCTTTCAGAAACTCAAACCTTAAATCTCATACTTATTTATAGTACTTAGTTATTACAGCAACAAGCTGTAGGCAAATTGTTTTTGTTTGTTTTCTGAAAACAGGTGTTCTGTTTTCTTTTCTAAACATGTCTTGTTTTGGAACAAAGAAATTAAAACTCTCAAAATACAAAATCAACAACAGTCCAAACACAATTCTCTTCAAACCAATTCCAAACACTCACAAAAACAAAACATAAAGAAAATGCCGAAGGTTGGGCAATCTCTCATCGATGCAAAGGTCTTGAAGTGCTTCTGTGCTTGCAAAAAAGATGCCGCATCATTTAATTTCTCCTGTTTCACCTTAATTGTGAGTAACAATTTAGTAATTAGTATTCGAGAAAAGGCAAAAAATATTACCTAAAAATGACCATGACAGTATCAAGTGACGGAATAATTGATCACAATAGAAAATGGTTTGTATCGTCAGTATATATAACTTAATTCCAACAGAAATGTTATGTTGATAAAAGGTTACAACAGGTTAAACTACATTAATAATAAAAAAAATCTTTATACCGTCAGTATATATAACTTAATTCCATTTGTATGTACCTCTGCCATTGTGAAAGAGGTCGAAATTGATAAGACATCATATATGCTTGAAAAGCTTCATCCTAAACTAGTGACACTGTAATGTTCGCCAAACTCTTGATCGATGCCCTTCAACTTCTCCAGGATAGCAACGTCTTTCATTCTCTGCGGAATCTCCTTCAGCTTTAAACAATCATGGATACCAAATCCTTTAATGCGAGGCATGGAACTTGTGGATAAATGCCATCTTTCTAAATTCTGAAGACCATCAAGACGAAGAAATTCTAGTTGATAAAAGCTGTTATTACTGCAGGTAATTTCTTTTCCTTCATAAGCTCCTACTAAATCCAGATCCCTTAGATTTGGCAACATTCCCAAAATAGGCATCGGATCCTCCATGAGTTCTGACTTCCAAAGGACCATCATTGTGATGGAATATGGAAAATGTTCCAAGAGAGGCAATTTTTCTATTCTCCCCTCTAACCACAATTTGTCGAGCTTTTGACAAGAACTAAGATATTCAAGGGTTGGGAATGATTCATCAACTTTACAACGCAACATGAGAGAGCTAAGGTTTTTCAAGCTGCCAATGTTATTTAGGGAGTAAGTATTCATAATATCATACATGCCTAATTCTTGAAGATTGACTAAATCAACGGGATCAACATCTCTCCACTGATCACAACAACTGTATTTAAGAACTTGAAGACTTGTGAGTTTGCTAAGTTGCAGAGGTCTTGAATACAAAGCAACTATATGTCTTAGATTTATTAGGTTAGCTGTTTCTGGGGGTAGTTGACATAAGTGTCTATAGTCATTCAAGACACGAAGTGTCTGTAAATTTTTGAGGCTGCCAATGGAGGAGGGAAGATCACGGATACCTCTCAAGCTTAAGAACTTGAGGTGGTACAAACTTCCTATGGCATCAGGTAGAATAGCGCCAGAACCAATCTCCAAGTATAACACATATATATGTTGGAAGACATCATGAAACTTTATAAGACCAATCTTAAAAAAATCTCGATCAAAGAACATAATTGACCTTAATTTCAAGTTAGAAAGATCAAGTGAGAGGTACCTTTGTGCTTGACCATGAATGATGTGTCTGACACATAAGGAGGATATGGAATGCTTTCTTGGATCATAAATGTCAAATAATTTTACCTCCAATGCCTTTTGCACGGCAAGATCCCGAAGTAGATCGTGCATCTTGCATCTAACATCTTTTTTCCAACTTGTACCTACCACTTGAATCAAGCTTCGTCTTATTAGCTCATTGAGGAAGCCCTCAGCTACATCCTCTGTTTTTTCTTCTCCTTCTGGTATGAATCCTTCGGCCATCCACGACCACATTATGTTGTCAACATAGATCAAATGATCTTCTGGAAAAATACCAAAGTAAAGAAAACATTGCTTGAGTACAGTTGACAAATCATTGTAGCTCAGTGATAGTATGTAGGAGATTTCAATAGAGTCATCTTTCATATGCCGCCAAAGTTGTGCTTTCACCTTTTGCCATTCTTGTAGCCCCCTTTTATGCGAAAGTAGTCCGCTTAATACAACAATTGCAAGAGGTAAGCCTCCACATTTGTCCACCATATCTCTAGCTAGGCTTTCCATTGTTGGGACCATTGCTTGAACGTCAAGTAGTTTCCTATAAAAGAGGTCCCAACTTTCTTCTTTCCTTAGGAAACGGAGTTTATAGACAAAACCTTTATCATCTGCTCTTTTAGCAACATCCTCGTTGCGTGTGGTAATAATAACTTTGCTGCCATTCTTGCTATCTGGGAAGGCTCTTTTCAAACTTTCCCATGCTTCTCTCTGCCATACATCATCAACCACCAAAAGGTATTTGCGGTCTTTCAATAGGTCACGAAGGTGAATTTCTAGATCCGTCTCTGTCATCTTTTCTAACAAATCCAGACTTTCCTTTGTGCGACCTTGAATGGATTTTATGATATTCCTAAGGAGATCCATGGTGTTGTACTCTTGAGAAACACATATCCAAGTGCGTGTTTGGAAGCTAGAGACTACATTAGGAGAGTTGTAGAGGTTTCTTGCAAGAGTAGTCTTGCCTAAACCACCCATACCATAAATGGAGATGACGCTTCGGCGAGGCTCTGCTTTGAGAATTTCAGCTAGCAAGCTTTCTACAACATCCCGAAAGCCAACAAAAATATGATCGTCATCTATATAGGAGGTAGTTCTCCTCAATGTTCTAACCATAGCGGACTTATTACTTGGCCCTTCTCCTGCATTGTTGATGTCTCTAATACCATACGTCTCCCGTTTGCGAGAGATATCCATGACTCGCTTCTTCAGGGATTGGATCTCCTTGCTGATGTTGTAGAATTTGGTCTCCTTCCTACATATGCAAGCGCAAGCCTTAAGACGACTAGCAAATCCATGGTCATCGGACTCTCCTGCCATGGAGATGTAAGTCTCCAGTATAGCGACAGCGTCATTAGCAATAGAGTTGATTTCAAATACCCATTGTTGAAATCTTTTATCTTCAACTTGCTTTTGTTCTGCATCTTTGAGGAAATATTGCATGAAGAGCAGCTCATTTCTCAGCCACTGCACATCCTCTCTCAGACTTATGCGCAATGCAACTTCTTGTATGAGAAAGTCACCCAGTTTTTCAACTGCAAATGACACAAAGGCATCAACTATCTTCAGGAGTCTTGATTGGTTTTCTCTTTAATCAGAGCTTGAAAAAGAGGTCTGATAGAATATATCGGAAGAAAGCTGGTTTTCAATTGATATTGTTTTGAAGCTATTCGAAGAAAGCTGGAGAATGAGATATATATAGACAGAAGCGGTAAAGAGAATAAATTAACAAACAAAAAGAAGGGAAAAAGTCTTAGTTGACTAAACTGAAGCTGTTTATTGTAAGTTTGGTTGCATAATCTAGGCAAGAACAAGTACGCGGTGGCCTTTATTATCAAGTAGAATATCTTCTTGTCCTAACCAATCAAATTTATTACAAGATCAGTAGATACTAAAGCTTTCAATTAGAAAAGAAAATCAGAAAATTTATAAATTTACTAAAGCTTTCAATTGAAAGTTTAAGTTAAATTATTTATAAATTGAGAAAGCTATCATATTTTTTGGAACGGAACGAGGTTCACATAAATTGGAATGGATGGAATAGTATAAAAAGGGTTTACACGCAATACAAATTTTAGTTAGATAATAATCCAACCGTGAAGTGTAGCGTCTAATAGAAATATATTTCTACACCAAATGATATTGTTAGACTTTTTCCTCTCCATGGAAAATTTAAATTAATAAATTTCTATGTTTTCGTTGTTGATCATTGCGTATTAAGTTAGTACTTGGTGGGGTGCATGACTCTGTATTTTTCAAGATTACATTATCACACAATTTTTCATTTTTGTAGTGTATTTCATAACTTTAGAAAAGTATACCTTCCATCATTACTTACATCATACATACTGTTAGAAATTCTTTAATTAATACCAATAGATTCGTTATCCCTTTATACACAGGTGCAGAGCTAGAGTGCCAGGAGCCGGTTTGATCGAATCCAGTAACTTTGGTTCGAACTCTGTATTTGTCTTAAAAAATTCATTGAATATATATAAATTATTAATCTAGAACTTAGTAAGTTAAAACGATTAGAATTTCGAATTCATAAGCTTGTAAACCTGGTTCTGCCTCTATTTATACACAACTTTTTTGTCTTTCTCATTTATGGTTTTGTACCAGAACGTTTTTATATATGTCAACACTAGTGGTGGCAAACGGGCGGGTTGGGTAAAATTTGGGCGGGTTGAAAACGGGTTAAATAAAAAATGGGTAATAACCCAACCCGCCCATATTTATACGGGTAAAAAACGGGTTGGGTACAGGTCAAACCCATATGTAACACAAGAATTACGCAAACAAAGAAAGCATTGAACTGGTATCGGAGATGTTATACACGGTGAAGCTCTTTACTATGAATGAGTACTATTTGCTGGGTTACTCTACTGTCATTCCACCTTATCAATGGAAATTGAAAGTATTTGGTTAAGGGACACTAATTAAATAGTGAAACTTGTGTAGGATTTTGTACTAATAATATGGTAATGTTAACAGTTAATAAAATATCAAAAACTTGATTGTTTCCCTTTAAACTAATATTTTCATCGCAAATAAGCCGCTAGATAAAATAACAAAAGCGGTTCCGTAAAAATTCCTACTATTCCATTTGTTAAGATCTTTCTAGTTGACTTAGATATTTTGATTAATAGTTGGACGTTAACAAAATATATGTTGTAAATAAGTTTTGGCTCAATATGTTTACTTTTGGATAGTTATTTGTGATGTTTTATACTTTCTTTGTTATTTTAATTTCTCCAGTTTGTTCTCCTCGAAGATCTAATAATATTCTACTAAAGTTGAAAAATATTTTAAAAGTGAAAAATGAAAGGAGTACTTAAAAGTAAAAGTTGTACTAATTGATTATGAATTTCATTTGAAAAAGAAGGTTAAAACTTTTTAGTGAAAATTATTAATTTCACTTGAAATATTTCTCAAACAAAGTTTTACCAATATCTTAAGTATTTCAACATTTATAAATAATGGTTAGTAAATTCATATTTTAAAATATTAATAATATTATTATGATGGAGCTGAATAATTTTTTATTTTATTTCTTATAATTATGAAGTTTCTTTTGAACTGTACATTCCTACTTGGTAAATAAAAGTCTACTTTATTTGCCAATAAAAATTATGAAGTTTCCATCTGATTCAAAAAAAATTTAAAAAATAGTAAAAACTTTTGAAAATTCTCACACAGAAAATTACCAGCCAAAAGTCCCTTGCCCAAGACAGTCAAAGAAGATTAAAAGTTAGTAAGTAACTGGACAGGTGTAGGAATTATTGGTAAATAGCTTCTCGCACTAGTTCTTCATTTGGGTTGAGAGTTGAATAGAAGCCAATCCATATCTTACCCATTTTTATGCGGGTAAAATATGGGCTCAACCCATATTTGACCATATTTAAATGTCACTCACCCAACCCGTGTAAATATGGGCAGGTTGGGCGGATTAGAATAAAATGGGTCACAATTGCCAGCACTAGTCAACACCAACGGAAAAAATGAATAGAAAAATTAGAGCAATGAAAGTGAACTGTGCCACATTAGACAAGGCAAAGACAAAATCAAAGTTCCTATTTTCAAAAGGCAACGACAATAAAGATTAAGTTTATCATATTTCTGTATCATTTGAAGGATGAAATTCCACAAAGTCAACAAGTCGAATATTCCGAGTTACTTCCGTGGAATTAGAAGGAGAGTTTTGGCGTAACTGGTAAATTAAAGTTGCTGCCATCCTGGTTACAGGTTCGAGCCGTGGAAACAATCTCTTGCTGAAATGCAGAGTAAGGCTGCGTACAATATAATAGACCCTTATGGTCTGGCCCTTTCCCGAATCTCGCGCATAGCGAAAGCTTAGTATACCAGACTGCCTTTTTTACTTCTATGAAACAATCCCAGCAGATTCCTTGTTTTTTCTAAACATTTTGGTTACATAGTTAAGGTGTAATTCTAATGAATATGCTCACTTGTCAAATGATATAAATGTATGATAGTGTCTTTTGCCATATATAAATGGATATATGGATAATGCCACGCGATTAGTATTTCCAGATATATATTAAACCTGCTCGGAAAAAAACTTGATATACAAGGAAGAAAAAAGTTGTTGACAGAAGCGTATTTATTGTGGTATACAATTAAGGGAAGAAAAAAAAGTTATTGTCGATAAAAATATAACTAATGATAGAGTAGACCCTCAGGAAATCATCGGTAGGCCCAAAGTGAAATGATTACTGCATAATGAGAGAAAAACAAAGCTCAAATGATTGTTCTGAGAAAGAAAAGTAAATCCAACCTTAAGTGGAGAGTTTTTTCCTTCTAGTTATGAGTGATACGCAACGCGAATCCTGATAAATCGGATAAGTAGGTACCAGATTTCATAATTTTATTCGAAGGTAGGTTGTACTGGATCAACAAAAATTGCGAAAATCATAGAGTGTCATTTGTTGTGCGATTAAAACTTGGCAATAAAAGCAAATAAAGAATGAATGTAAAGAAATATACACTGATGAGAAGACATCCGCGAGTTGAGAAGCACTGGAAGTGTGAGGCAAACTGATGAGACCTTCAGCAAGCTTGGTACGAACAAAATGACAATCCAACTCAATGTGTTTGGTCCGCTCATGGAAGACAGGATTGCGAGCAATGTGAATGGCAGAGATGCTGTCACAATAGAGAGGAATAGGAGAATCAGAAGATACCCAAGTAATTTTTGCCACGGCCTTGCTCATAGATCTATACTCAGCTTCAGCTGAAGACAAAGACCCCACTGCTTGTTTCTTGGATTTCCACCCAATGAGACTGACACCAAGAAATATACAGAAACCAGAAACAGATCTCCTACTATCAGGGCAGGATCCCCAATCACTATCACAATAAGCTTGCAAAGAGAGATCAGGAGAATTGGAGAAGAAGAGGCCAAAATCAGAAGTGCCTCTGAGATACCTCAACAGGTGCAAAGCTGCCTTCATGTGAGGAAACAGGGCTGTTGCATGAACTGACTGAGATATTGCACAGCAAAACTTAGGTCAGGTCTGGTGTGGGTAAGGAAATTGAGCTTACCTGTGAGCACGTGATTTTTGCCCTAAGCAAATTATTCCAAAAGTTTCAAATAAAATGATTCTACAATTTTTGTGGGTTTTGTTGAATTTGGTGTTAATTGATTGCATGATCATTCATATTAAAAATACAAAAAATATGCATTTGCATTTAGGAATTTAATCTCACATTTCTAGGTATGGATTTGTTTAGAATAAAAATTAAAGAAAATCACAAAAATAGTTTCTTTGCACTTTTAATTGTTAACTGTTGCATTTATCTTTTAAGTAGAATTTTAAGATTTGAATAGTGTAATCTCGAATTATTATTAAGTATTGGTTTTAATTGTTTTTTTTACATTTTATAAAATCAGAAAAATGCAAGATAAAAATACAAAAATATAAAATAAAATAAAATACAAAAGCAAAAGCAATAAAAAGAAAACAAAATGAATTAATAAAAAGGGAATTAGGCTAGTTGAATTGGGCCAAATTTGGCTTTAAGTCCAAACGATCCCACTCCAATTTGTTTCAGCGCAGACCAATTTGGCCCAATCCGTCTCCCCACCCGGTCCAGCGTCGAGTAATCTCAACCGTCCATCACCCTCATCCAACGGCTCACGTTGATGCTAATGTTCTAATAAAAGTGTCCTAAAAAAAACCCATTAACCCTAGACACTCTTTACCCTCCTCGTACCCCTGCCCTATCTCCAGCCGCCGGTGTAACACCACCGTTACCCTGCCCTGCTCCGCCGTCCTCCGCCCTAGCGCCGCCGGCCGGAAATCGCCGCCGGCGGCGGCGATGCTCCATGGCCCCCAAAATTTCACACCATACTCTCCTTCACCTCGTCTTTCCAACCCCCATATCCATGTCCCTCGAATCCCAATCCAACTCCATTCAATCTAAGTTTTCCGACCAAGTCACAAACTCACCCAAACCGGCCCAAATTCATACAATATGTTCCTCATCCCTCCCTCATCATTAATCCATACCTAGAAACCTTCGAATCTGCCCGGAACATTACAAATTCTAAATCCCAATTCCGGCAGAAC